CGGTTTTTCTCCTGTGTCACTCTGTAATGAGCCACAAGGTCTGAATTATGGGAGAAACACTTCCCACAGTCCTGGCACTTGTATGGTTTTACACCTGTGTGGATTCTCTGATGAGCCACAAGCTCGGACTTCCGAAGAAGACTTTTCCCACACTCCTGGCATTTGTAGGGTTTCTCTCCTGTATGGATTTTCTGGTGGATCAGAAAGTGTGAACTGTGAGCAAAACATCTCCCACATTCATGGCATTTGTACGGTTTCTCTCCTGTGTGGACTCTCTCGTGTTTCAAAAGTGAGGAACTGCAACTGAAGCATTTCCCACACTCCTCACATTTGTACGGTTTTTCTCCTGTGTGCACTCTGTAATGAGCCACAAGGTCTGAATTATGGGAGAAACACTTCCCACAGTCCTGGCACTTGTATGGTTTTACACCTGTGTGGATTCTCTGATGAGCCACAAGCTCGGACTTCCGAAGAAGACTTTTCCCACACTCCTGGCATTTGTAGGGTTTCTCTCCTGTATGGATTTTCTGGTGGATCAGAAAGTGTGAACTGTGAGCAAAACATCTCCCACATTCATGGCATTTGTACGGTTTCTCTCCTGTGTGGACTCTCTCATGTTTCAAAAGCGAGGAACTGCAACTGAAGCATTTCCCACACTCCTCACATTTGTACGGTTTTTCTCCTGTGTGGTACCTGTGATGAGAGACAAGGTTTGATCGGCGAGCAAAACATTCCCCACACTCCTGGCATTTGTACGGCTTCTCTCCTGTGTGGACTCTCTGATGAGTCACAAAGTGTGAATTGTGAGCAAAACATTTCCCACACTCCTGGCATTTGTACGGCTTCTATCCTGTGTGGACTCTCTGATGAGTCACAAAGTGTGAATTGTGAGCAAAACATTTCCCACACTCCTGGCATTTGTACGGCTTCTCTCCTGTATGCACTCTCTGATGAATCCGAAGACCTGACCTCCGAAGGAAACATTTTCCACATTCCTGGCATTTGTAGGGTTTCTCTCCCGTGTGGATTCTCTGGTGGATCAGAACACTTGAACTGTCTGCAAAACACTGCCCACACTCCAGGCATTTGTAAGGCTTTTCCCCAGTGTGGACTCTCTCGTGCTTCAAAAGTGCTGAACTGGAAACAAAACATTTCCCACACTCCTGGCACTTGTACGGCTTCTCTCCTGAGTGGACTCTCTGATGAGTCACAAGGCCTGATTTGCGAAGGAAACACTTCCCACATTCCCGGCATTCATGTGGTTTCTCTCCTGTGTGGATTCTGTGATGTGTCACAAGGTGTGAACTGTGAGCAAAACATTTCCCACACTCCTGGCATTTGTAGGGTTTATCCCCTGTGTGGATTCTCTCGTGCCTCAAGAGAAGCGAACTGTAGGCAAAACATTTCCCACATTCATGGCATTTGTATGGCATCTCTCCTGCGTGGAATCTCTCGTGAGTCACAAGGTTGGACCTGTAAGCAAAATACTTCCCACACACCTGGCATTGGTACGGCTTCTCTCCTGTGTGGACCCTCTGATGAATCACAAGGGCTGCCTTGCGAACAAAGCATTTCCCACACTCCTGGCATTGGTACGGTTTCTCCACTGTGTGAACTTTCTGAGAATCCATAGGCTGAGAATTGTAAGCAAAACATTTCATATAGTCTTGGCATCTGTATACTTTCTCTGCTGCGTGGACTTTCTGGTGAATCAGTTGCTTTGAATTCTGAGAGAAACATTTTCCCCGCTCCTGGCATTGGTAGGTTTTCTCTCCTATGTGGCCTCTCTGGTAACTCACAAGGTGTGAGTTGCAATGTGGATGTTCTACTGACCATTCATATCTAAGGAAATTTCTCCCACTGTGGACCCTTTTATGAAACAGAAACATTTTCTTTGAGGCAAAATATTTCCAGCAGATGGTACATCTGTAGGATAACTTTCTAGTATGACATTTCCCTTCTGATTGGGTTCTTTGATGTTTTGGAAAACCCAGTTTATGTGCAACATACTTCCCAATCTTGAGCCAGGCACTTCTTTTGTGCTTGCTGCCTGTTAGGGGAAAAAGTGTGGAGAAAATAGGAATTTAGTGGACTTTTGTCACTGTTTTGTTAACATTTGCATTTTTATTTCTAGTATTCCTTAGGGGACTACGGTTATCGGGGGACAGCTGAAATTTAAAATATAGTAGGATCTCCAAATCCACAGAATCAGTACCCAGTTTCACTTATCCGCAATCCGAAAATATTAAAAATATTAAAAGAAAAAAGAACTAGAAATACAGTGGTGCCTCGCTTGACGAGGATAGTTCGTTCCGTTCAAATCGCTGTTAAGCGAAATCCTCATCAAGCGAAATTTTAAAAACCATTGAAATGCATTGAAAACTGGTTCAATGCATTCCAATGGGTGAAATACCTGCTCGTTTTGTGAAGATCCTCCATAGGGCGGCCATTTTCCAGTGCCTGTAAAGCGAGGAATCCATCCTAAAGCACAGGGGGGAGCCATTTTGCATAGCAGGCGGCAATTTTGTCATCTAGCGAAAAATCGGTTCCCGAAGCAGGGAACTGATCATTGTTAAGCGATTTTCCCCCATAGGAACATCGTTTTGCGATCGCAATAGCGATCACAAAAACTTAATCGTAAAGCGGTTTCGTCGTTTAACAAGGTAATCGTTAAGCGAGGCACCACTGTGTGTACTTTCATAATTTTCAACAAGAATACAGTGGTGCCTCGCAAGACAAAATTAATCTGTTCCACGATTAATGCCATCTTGCGAAAATGTCATTTTGCGAAGCAAATTTTCCCATAGGAATGCATTCCTGGGGGGGGGCGAGTCAGAAAAAAAGTCACTTTTTTGTCTTTGGTAACATTGGCTGTCCACGATAATAGGGATGGCCCATTCTTAGTAAGAGAAAAGTAATTAGGAAAAACTCAGACACAAGTCCCCTCGCAGAGGTGGGACTGTGAACCATATTTCAGTGGAGACCCTTGCCCCCTTTCACAGCCTAGTCTGTATACCTTGAAATCAGCCTGTGGGGTGTGTGTGCTATCCATTTGTTGGGGGTAGAATTAAAACCACAATTTGAAAAATTAGTACTATGCCCCCTATGTGGCTGTGGACTATTTAGTTTTGCATCCGTGAAAATCAGATTGGCCTGGCTGCCCACCCACACAGGACCCTTGCCTTCTAACTTGCCAGCTGGCCAAGTCTAAATCGTCTATCCAGGAGAGGGAAGGGAACGGCAGATGTAACCTGTTACATGATGACGGACCTTTACAACAGGGTAGGCAACTTTCAACCCCGAGGCCACTGACAGCCCCCGCCCTGCCCTGTTTTTTTTTGGGGGGGAAGGGGGATCCCCCCTCTGCCTCCTGCTCCTGTGTTGGTGACTCCACTTCAAGAACGGTGAAAAAAGCCGCTGGAGTTTTCCGGAAGGGCTGTGCTCCGTGCAGGCCTGTTTTTCACAAGCAGAGTCTCACCTCTGGAAGTCTGCTGGCAAACCAAGAGCAGAGGAAGGACACCTTCTGGTTTTACAGGGAACACCCGTTTTCTTTACAACCCCCAGCATTGGCTGCAAACTCTATCCTGTGCCAGCAAATGGCTGGGAAACCGCCGGTGAATTCAGGAGAACCTCTGATCCCTGGCCGACCTTTCTCCGAAAGGCACTTCCAAGCAGAGGACGGGACCGCTTGGAGAAAAGGCTTAACACTGGAATCGCATTCAGTGAGTCTAACCAGTTATACCCGTGGGTGTCGTGTGAACGGTTAAACTTTGATGGCAGAGAATCCAAGTCTGAACAACAACAACAAAAAAGACATTGAATCTTAGAACGGCAGAGCTGGAAGGGATCCTATAGAATGACCATCGAGATTTTGGAAGGCCCAGCGGGGGAATTGAACTCTGGTGTCATTATATTCGGCCACTCCTTCGTTTCCTCTCTCCTGTGCTTTTTGAAATTCAATACCTTGTGCTCTCAGACAGGAAAGACAGCAAACACACACAGCTAGCTGGGTTGTTTTAACACTCAATTTCCAATTTCTCTTCCAAAGATGAAGTTGGGTGAATGAACGGGAAGAATGTTCGCATGAGCAACCACCCTGAGGGGTTTTGGTTTGGGGTTTTGTCAAGCGGGCTTACCCAAAGAGATTCTTGATCCGGTCTCTGAGATCTCCCCTTCACCCCAAACCTGTAAATCTTCTTTTAGCTCCATTTCAGAAAGGTGCTCAAGCTTCGGAACTGGAAGGTAAGTTGAGAAAAGAAGAACACAGTGAAGATCAGGAGGAATCCAGAGGGGTGTAACGGTTGTGTGCTGTTTTGAAATGATATTAAATAAAATTCATATCAATGGGACATTGTAAGCAAAGCCTCATCACCAACTCTGGTTTTTTTAAGTGTAGGAAAGTTCATCTTGAAAAAATATACCCACAAAGGTTACTGGACCACATTTTGCAACATGCCGCCAATATCAGTCAGTTTTCTTAAGCTTTCTTAATGTCCAGAGTGCTTGTTACACTATTTTTCTAATCATCATCATGGTGTTGTTGGTGGTGGGGAAATGACTTCTATGACATGTCACACTTTCTCTGCAACCTATACTTGAACCCAAAAGCAAGTTTAAACATGCTTATGAGTAATCTGGCCTTTCTCACCAGATTACTCACAAACATGTCCAAACCCACTTATAAGTTCAAACACAGGTTGCAGGAAAAAATATGACATGTCATAGAAATCCTCCCTCTAATCAACATCCTCATCCTCATCTTAGCACCGTAACACTGGAATGGACCTTGTGGGTCATCAAGTCCAGCCCCTGTCAAGGAGGCCCAGTGGGGGGGAGGGAATCGAACTCCCGACATAAATCACTGAGTTCTCCAGCAGTTCTTAGCTTTATCTTCTCTCAGTGTTCACAAACATGGAAACGGTGTGGTCATTCCCGCTACTGACCTCTCCTGGCAGCTTCCTATACCACGATCTCTGTTTTATTTAACCCTCCCTTTTTCCTTAAAAGGACCCAGCCGGCTTATATCCTTAAAGGACAACAAAAAGGTCACAACAGTGAGCATACAAATACTAAAAAGGGTCAAACAAATATAATACCAAAAACATAAGCAACTTCAAAACACATTTGAAACGGTATGGTACAACCATTAATTTTAAAAAAAAAACATTCAGAGAAAGCTTTCCCGAAGAGAACTTCCTTTCCTGTAGAGACAGGTCTTCTCATGCATCCGTCACTGCTACTTTTTCATCCCCAGCACCAGACTCTTTGTATTGTGAAATACCATCACACACCATTGGCTGAGCTCCGTTGAACCTCTGCTTGAATTCTAGACAGTATCATCGTCTTCCCAAAACCCCTACCACTTGCCAGGAGCCCTTCTCCTCAGAAGGACAGACCATAGTCCAAAAAAGCCACCACCTGGGAAATTAGCTTCATCACTATCGTTTCCACACAGAGGAGAAGGCAGGGATGAGGGTCAGAGAGTTTTATGAGTCTTAGGCTGCGGTCCTGGCAGCAAAAATGTTTTCAAGTTTCTCCCCCTGAATTTCAACCCTTTTGCTTGGGTTCAAAGGATGCAAAGCCATGCTCAATTCTCCGTGCTACTTCTGCATCAAATCCAGCCCACTGGGAGGCTACTACTATATTGGTTCCTATTATTTGCTACATTGTGCTGTACAACTAACATTGCAGTTGGTACTGTATACTTCTGTCACATATGGAGCATCAGTCCTTCTACTGTATTTTGACCGCCATGGCAATGTGCTGTTGGTTTTCCTCCACAGAGGATAACGAAGCACAAAAATAGGAAGAAATGGCCCAGATCGGCACGTGGCCGGCAAGGGCATTTTGCTGACACATCGATGTACCCGCAGAATTTTTTTAAAAGTGGGGGGAGGGGGCAGAGAAAGCCACAAGAAAAGGAAGGGGATATGTCCCTCTTGAGGAGTATAGACAAACATACTACATCTAATTCACCCAAAAAGGCGGAATAGTTGAAAACATATGAACCACTTCCATAGGATATATGTCACATGACCACAGCACACGACTTTACAGGAAGCAGAAGATGTGAAAAAGAAGGGGGGCATTTCTCTTGTGTGATCACAGCCTCAGTCAGCTCCGGTGACGTCTCTGTGCTATCATGATCGAAGAAACAAAATTATTTTAATGCATATTCCAAACGTCAAGATGGCTTCATCTGAGCAACCATGACTAAGATTTTACATTTGACTTTTTCTTTGTCAAGCTGGCTTACCCAAAGAGCTTCCCGACCGAGGACCTGAGGTCTCCCCTTCGTCCAAACTTTGTGATTTTTCTCTCCGCTCCCTCTCGGAAATGAGCTTAAGGTTTGCAACTGGAAGTTAAATTGAGGAAAGAAGAAAACGATGAGGGTGAGGAAGAATTCGTAGAGGTGTGCGACAACGGTGTGCCTTTCTGGAAAGGGCATTCAATTACAAATCACAGCAAGGGGATACGTTAAGCAAAGCCTCAGCTTCAGCCCTATGGATTGTTAGTTAAGTGGGGGATGGGGGATGGGCTTGTGTTGAATAATCTTGAAAATACATCCACAGAAGTTACAGGACCACCAGCAATTTCATTCATTCCCCATCAGCCCTTTTTCCCCTTAAACTGCACTGCCCGGAACCAGACGCAGTGCTACAGGCTTCCGATATATCTCTTTTTCTTCAATGCTAAAAGGTTTTCTCCTTTCAGAGAAACATACAGAGGCAAATGTAGAAAAGGACACAAAATTTAAGGACACTGAAGACAAACACAGTGGTGCCTCGCTAGACAGTTACCCCGAATGAAATTTTTTTTGCTAGACATTGGCTTTTTGCGATCACTATAGCGATTCGCAAAATAGTGATTCCTATGGGGGAATTTCACTGGACAATGTTTGGTCCCTGCTTCGCAAACCGATTTTCGCTAGACGACGATTTCGACAAGTCCCTCCACGCTCGCAAACAGGTGTTTTCGGGACCTAAGCTTCGCAAGACAATGATTTAAACAGCCAATCGGTGGTTTGCAAAGTGGTTTTCCTATGGCCGATCTTCGCTAGACAATGACGATTCTTCCCCATGCATTCCAATAGGGAAAATGCTTTTCGCTAGACAATGATTGCGCTAAACAGCGATTTAAATGGAATGGATTATCACCGTCTAACAAGGCACCACTGTATAGATGGCAAGACCAAGAGGATTAAAGTTACACAAAGATTAGAATACAGGATTAGAATACAGGCATACATTCGAAGGCACAGGAAGCTAAATCATAAATAAGATTGCTGTCATCAATAGAACACCGGCGTGCCATAATGGACAGAATGTTGGACTAAGGAAACCTGGATTCAGATCTCATCCAGCCCTATAAGGCTAACTGCCCCTCCTCGTTATGCTACCACTAACAAAATACTACTGATCTCCAGACCTTGAAGCTCCACCATAGGCCGGCCAGCTAGGGATGATGGGAACTGGAGTTCCAACAGTAACTGTCAGGTCATAGGTTTCCAAGTCCTGCCTTAAAAATCCCCAAGCAGCTAGTGGGGAAATATAGCCATTGTGGTTATTGTTGTGATTATGACTGGATTTGTAAAGAGACGCTACTATTAACCACAGAGAGAGGGAGCCTTACTGAGAAAGGCCACGATCTCATGGTTTTCTTCCATGACTTCCTTGTGTAAAGCCCTCTGGTCAGGATCCAGCAGCACCCACTCCTCTCGGGTGAAATCCACAGCCACCTCTTCAAAGGTCACTGGACCCTAAATGAAAAAGAAAGAAGGAAAACTGAACCTGGCCCTCAAGCGTTTGTACCTGCATGTAATTTTTTTTGGGGGGGTTGTAAATTTTCAAAAAAGATATGGAAACAACATTTTCGCCCATTCCTACCCAGAAGATGAACTGGGGACCCAGGAACCTTGGGTGCTTTGCATGGATTTTCGCGGTGATCCTTCCCTTTTCCTGATCCGATTTCAAACGAACACAAACAAGAGGCAAGGATGATGGAGTATGCTTCGTCGCCAGCTTCCCTCCAGCCCCTAAGGGAGAGACAAAGAGGGGCAGGAAGCCAGTTGCGTAAATTTGTCTCAGAAGTTAAAACTATCATCCTAGAAACACTTGCCAGAGAGTAAATCCTTTGAAAATGATGGGAGCTGAGTGTGGTCTAATGGCCGTGGTATCAGACTGGGTCATGGGAGGAAGAGAGCCATGCAGGAAGGAAGACAGCCATGTGGTCTTAAGCATATTGGAGGAAATACATGCCACTAATAAAACAGGCTAAGTGATGCAATTGTAAATAGACATGGGTGTGGCATTCTGCTTTATACTTAATTTGAATGTTAGACATTCTCTACCCCTCTCCGTGAAGAGCATGGAAATTACTCATGGGTGACAGAGAGAAAGCAGGACAGACAAAAATCCAACTTTTGCCTTTATCTTCTTCCAGAACAAAGCCAGTCTCCAACCAGATACAAGGAGAAGAAAGGAGTAAGTCAGGGGGGTGCTGCCCAGGACAGAGAAAGGGTTGGCATGGGAACATCTGTCTACTTTAAAGGATTAATGTTTCTAGTGCCAGTAAGCAATGTTGATGAGCTTCAAAGGCAACTTTAGAAACAATCTTGGCACTTTTGTTTATCATATTTGAGTATTCTTGGAGAACCAGTGAAGTCTCTGAGGACTGCAAGTGAGCAAATGTTCTCCCTGTTTTCAAAAACAAAACAAAACAAAGGGGGGGGGGAGAAGAGGAATCAGGCAACCACTGACCAGTCAGCTTGACACCGATACAAGGAAAGGTATCAGAACATGTCATAAAGCAGGCGGATGGGTGAGCACTTAGAAAATCCTACTGTGATGACTAAAACCTAGCATGAGTTTTTCAGAAACAAGTCATGCCAGACTAATTGTATATCTTTCTTTGACAACATCAGAAGGTTAGTAGACGGGGGGAATGCTGCATATGTAGTGTATCGTGATTTTGGCAAGCTTTTTGATAAGTCCCCCCATGATATTCCTGTGGCCAAAGTGGTCAAAAGAGAAGCAGACAATGCTACTGTTCGGTGGAACATGTTTAAAAGTCTGCAAAGTGTTGGCCATTGAAACACGAACATGTCTCGGGACTTGATAGTGGACAAGACTCGAAACATTAGAGCATTACAAGTATCTTTTCCATACCTCAAGCAGAGAGACCAAGCTGATGAAGTCTTTCCTACAATCAATCCTTACCCTGCATGGTAGCACCTCCATCCTCATCCCCCTTGAGTCTCCTCCACTGTCTGTTATCTGCTGAAGACATCTTAGCCCCTGAGAAATTTGAGTCCTGAAAGGAGAGTAAGAGTCTGAGATTTGCATTTGGGAGGCGGGACAGAAAAAGGAAAAATTATAGCTACGTGCTGTCAAGTAGTATCCAACTCATGACAGGCTGTTCCAGGCTTTTGTAGGCACAGAAGTGGCTCACCACTCCTTTCTTCTGGGGCTCTGCAGCTTGCCCAAGGCATCACAGGCTAGCTATTCTCCTGGTGTGAGAAACGCTTGCACCCTTGTTACTTAGTACGGTAACCAGACAACCATGAATCCAAGCAGCTCTCCTTTATTAAAAAGCACTTTTGCAAACGTAGGTAAGCACACCGATCAATACAGATAGCTTGATATTTATTCCCTATTCCCGGCTGCATGGTCCCGCCCTTGTTTCCCCATTGGTCAGGAATTCCAAGGTGTACAGCCTATCCGGTACGCCTAAACTGATCAGGTGAAGTCCCACCCCTGTTTACATCTCCCATTCCCCATATTAACTAGACCACAGACTCCTAGTTATTTCTCTCTTTATTTAGTACCTGTTCCCCTTCTCTTAACCTTTCTGCAGCCATTCTTACTGACCCATACAGTTTCCTTATTATTAGCTAAGCTTAATCGTTCAATCTTCTTGTCAGTACAATAGGGCACCTCCCTTATCTATCCTTCTGGTTTTCGCAAAAGGCAGAGTGGGGAATCGAACTCCTGTCCTCTGGCTCTGTAGCCATATACCTAACACACGGACTTATCCAGCTGATACAAAGGAATTATAGACATAGCCGTCTTAGTGGGTGGGGAATGGACAGCAACTGTAAAGAACATCTGTAACTGGGCAACCAATATATATTTATTTATTTATTTTATTTGTTCGATTTATATCCTTAACCTTTTAGTTTCCTTATTATTAACTAAGCTTAATCGTTCAATCTTCTTGTCAGTACAATAGGGCACCTCCCTTATCTGTCCTTCCGGTTTTCGCAGAAGGCAGAGTGGGGAATCGAACTCCCGTCCTCTGGCTCTGTAGCCATATACCTAACACATGGACTTATCCAGCTGATACAAAGGAATTATAGAGGTAGCCGTCTTGGTGGGTGGGGAATGGACAGCAACTGTAAAGAACATCTGTAACTGGGCAACCAATATATATTTATTTATTTATTTTATTTGTTCGATTTATATCCCGCCCATCTGGTATATTCTACCACTCTGGGCGGCTTACAGAATGTCAAAAACAATTTAAAAAACATAAAAACATTAGTATACAACAATAACAAATAGTGGAGGAATAAATAAATACAGTAATAAATAGCAAAGCAAAGAAATCAGTAGTTGACAGGAGAGAAGGCCTGGATGTACATCCATGTTTTCAGTTGGCATTTGAAAGTACCCAGCGTTGGGGCCTTGCAAATTTCCGGAGGAAATAAAGAGTTTTAGGATATTCTCCCTTGTGCTCTTAACCCTATAGAATAGATCTGGGCAACCTCCCCAGTGGGGCGGGGTACACTAGTTGCCCTGGGGCCACACACAGCATCAAATTTGTGATTCCTTAGAAAAAAAGGCAACTTAAGACAAATTCTGCTTTTACAAAAGGCATGCATTCCTCCTTTCAAAGGTGACCGATTTCAAATTTCAGAGAAACAGCTCTACCTTTGAGATTGAGGGTTGTGTGTATAAACCATTGCCTTAGAGCCACTAGGATGCTCCCACCTGTTGCTTTCTCTGCCTTTTGTCCTCTTGCCAACTCAGGAGGAAGCCTTCGGCCAGGGCCACCGCCTGGGAACTGGTCTCTGCCCCACATTCCCTCACCCAGAGGGACATCTCCGGGGGAAGGATGGCCAGGAACTGCTCCAGGATCACCAGGTCCAGGATCTGAGCCTTGGTGTGCCTTTCTGGCTGAAGCCACTGATGGCAAAGATGATGGAGTCGGGTGCAAGCCTCTCGGGGCCCCTCCGCCTCCTTGTAGGAGAAGTCCCTGAAGAGCTGGCACTGGATCTCCGAACCCTCACCCAGAGGGACATCTCCGGGGGAAGGATGGCCAGGAACTGCTCCAGGATCACCAGGTCCAGGATCTGAGCCTTGGTGTGCCTTTCTGGCTGAAGCCACTGATGGCAAAGATGATGGAGTCGGGTGCAAGCCTCTCGGGGCCCCTCCGCCTCCTTGTAGGAGAAGTCCCTGAAGAGCTGGCACTGGATCTCCGAACTGACGCGGTCGTGCAAACCTCTCTGGGCCCGTCTGCCTCCTTGTAGGAGAACTGCCTGAAGAGCTGGCACTGGATCTCCGAACTGACGCGGTCCTCAGTCTTCTGCACCATTCTTTCCCAGGCATCTTGCCTGCTCCCAGCGGCACCAGGGCCTCTTCCTGCTTGACCGTCAGCTGAGTCTTGCTCCATCATCTTTGATCCACGCCTTCAATGAAAGCAAAGGATCTTCTCGCTCAGGGCCGTGAAAGACAGACACGGAAGCTCTGCAAAGCCAAGAGACCCTTCTGTGAATAATAATGGTGCTAGACAGGCAGTTTGTTTAAATCCTGGTTATTGAATGCAAATTAGTTAATTTTGGAGCACTTTGTCACAGTATGTCGTACCTATATTTTACTGCATTGTGAGCTACCCAGATTGCCCACTGGTCAGATGGGTGGTATAACAACGAAACACAAAAGACTAATAAGGAGGGGGATGGAAGATCCCACCCACCCACTAAGAAGCCAGAACTCTTATGTGGTGCAAAATAAAAAGGTGGAAGGCAGCAGGAAAAGAGGAAGATTGAAGGTAAGATGGACGGACTCCCTAAAGGAAGCCACAAGCTTGAGTTCACAAGAGCTGAGCAGGGCGGTTGAAGGCAAGACAGTTTGGAGCCCGCTCTCCTTCATAGGGTCACCAGATGTTGAAGGGGACTGACAGGCACATGACAACCACAGTAGGAAAAGCCACAGACTGAACGTGAGATGGATGGACTCAGGAAAAGAAGCCACGCCCTTCGTCGGGCTGTTCCCGCCCCCTTCGGCAAGTCATTGGCTCTCAGGGCTGAAGTGCAGGAGGGTGAATGAATCACAGCACCACTGGGGGGCGCTCCTCTCCTAGCCCATCTATCCACCCCATTGGAGAACTCACCCTCAGGCCTTCCTCCTCCCCTTCTGCCGTTGCCCTGGAGATGGGAGGGCAAGGCGCCCCAGAGGCCGGGACGAGAAGCCGGGCTTTCTTCCGGACAGAGGAACAGGCCCGGAGAGGGAGGGACATCGAGGAGGGAAGGGGGCTAGAAAAGGGCAAGGAAGCCGGCTTTCCCCTCTAGGAACCCGGACTCTGTGCTTTTAACCCTCGATGGCAAGGAGGGAATTCCAAGACTCTCTTTGTGGTGGTGGTGATGGGCCGTCAAGCCCGCCCCTGGACTCTTGGGGACTGTATGAAGGAGCGATCTCCAAAAAATGTCCTCTCCCCCCACAGCCCTGCTCAGCTGTTGCAGACTCAAGCCTGGTGGATTCCTGCTGGGAGTCCGTCCATCTCATATTTGGCCCTCCTCTTTTCCTGCTGCCTTCCACTTTTCCCAGCACGACTCTTTTCCAGACAATCCTCCCTTCTCAGGATGAGCCCCAGAGTAGGACACCTTTAGTTTTAACATTTTTGCCTCCAGAGAGAGACTTTTCCAGACAATCCTCCTTTCCCAGGATGAGCCCCAAAATAGGACACCTTTAATTTTAACATTTTTGCCTCCAGAGAGAGAGAGAGCGAGAGAGAGCAGGCTGGATTTGATCTAGGACGCCCCCTTGTTTGTCTTTCTGGCATTTCAGGGTATTCTTAAAGCTCCCCTCCCACATGGTGTTTTGGGGCACCCAAAAGCATAGCAAGAAAACACCCTATCAGTTCACATTGAATTGTGGATCTGTTGTTTTCCCCTGGGTTTGAGAGAAGGATTCAATAACTTCCCATTCCTCCCACCCCCACTCCCTTCTTTTTCTCTTTTGGTTCTTCCTTTCCCAACATAATCCAGCACCAGAGTTCTGCTAATAATAGTGTGAAAATCCCTTGGCACAGCTTATCCTCTTGGGGAACTTCAGAATATTACTGATTGATCATCAGTTAGAAAAAAGGGTTTCTCTACATCATGAGATCAGCTAATGAACACTTGAATAATCAATGTCACTGAAATCCTTCTGATGGGATCTGGGGTAATGTGATGCATTTGGGCTGAAATTCACAGATTTTCCTCTGACTTTATATTTAATTTCAGGAACATGAACAATGCGAGAAGGATCTTGGAATTGTCATAGAGCACAACTGAATATGAGTCAACAGTGTGTTGTGGCTACAAAAAAGGCAAATTACCTCCACTTTTTAAGAAAGTAGATATTTGGTTTCCAGCCCTTTATTTGGGAGTATATTCTCCTGTCCCTGTTTGTATGCTCTATTTTTTTTCATGTTATGATACATGTACAAATTAAAAAAGGGATGTGGTGGCGCTGCGGGTTAAACCACAGAAGCCTCTGTGCTGTGAGGTCAGAAGACCGGCCATTGTAAGATCAAGTCCAGGCAACGGAGGGAGCTCCGGGTCGCTTGTCTCAGCTCCTGCCAACCTAGCAGTTCGAAAGCATGTGAAAAATGCGAGTAGATAAATAGGGACCACCTCGGTGGGAAGTCAACGGCGTTCCGAGTCTAGTCACACTGGCCACATGACCACGGAAACGGTCTTCAGACAAATGCTGGCTCTATGGCTTGGAAACGGGGATGAGCACTGCCCTCTAGAGTCGGACACGACTGGACTAAATGTCAAGGGGGACCTTACAACAACAACAACAACAAAAACAAATTAAAAGTTCATGCTTCTTTTTAAAGATCCTTTTGCTCTCCACTTTTCCAGGTGGTGACTTGGTTGTTTTCTAAGTCTTGGTCTTACAGAGCATAAGTACCTCCAACTCTCTTCTGGCATCTTCTTTCCACGTGCTAGTCTCTCCCTTGGGGGGGAGGCATCAACTGACTGATTTCCAATCCTTTCTCCATTTTTTAAAACATATTTTATCCTTATTGAAAATGGCATTAAGAAGAGTTTGGGTAATTCTTCACGGTTGTAGTTTTGGATGAAGAAGGCGTTCTGGATGAAATAAAAGATGGCCCCACTTACGACGCGGGTTCGCTCTTAATGCAAGTTTGATCCTGCTATTTTGCCCTTGGTTTGTTCTAATTAGGAAACATTGACCTGGACTTCTGCCTTCTTTGAGGTTGTCGTTATTGCTCTGTGCTGTCAAGTTGCCTCCGATTCACAGCTACTCTGTGAATGAGCCATCTCCAAAATGTCCCGTCGTCAGCTTCCCTGATCAGCTCTTTCAAACTCAACCCTGTGGCTTCCTTTAGGGACTCAGTCCATCTTGCATTTGGCCTTCCCCTTTTCCTGCTGCCTTCCACCTTTCCTAGCACTGTTGTCTTGTGCCGTCAAGTCCGTTCTGATTCATGGCAACCCTTTCCAGAGTTTTTGAGGTAGAGAATATTCAGAACTGGTCCGCCCATCCCTTCTTCAGGAGGTGTCCCTGGGACTGTGCAGCGTGCCCAAGGTGACCCGGGCTGGCTTTTCTCTTGGGAGGCTTAAGGGGGAACTCACCTCCCAGCCTCTGGCTCCACACCAGGATACCTAAACCACTGAGCTATCCCTGTTAGAAAAATCAGTGAAGGCAACAGGAGAAGAGGAAGACCAGATAACGAGAAGGATCAGCTCCATAAAGGAAGCCACAGCCTTGAATTTACAAGAGCTGAGCAGGACTGTTGGAAGTCATTTCGTGGAGGGATGAGACAGCAGGGAGAATTGGGGGAAATCATTGGGCGCTGCCCTGATCGCCTCCCCCGGAGATCGGCTGCCTGAGTCAGTTCTCCCGCTGTTCCTCATCACAGGATTGGCTCTGCAATGAGGTTGAGGACGACAGGAGCAGCCGGCCGTGACAACGTCAATGATTTTGCTCTTTTAGAGTGGGAGAAGAATGAAAGAGAAAGAAAAGAGGGCTCTTTCAAATGTTTGTTAGGGGGCAACAAATGGGGTCCACCAACAACAGGGTGCTGTTCCGTTCAAAATGGTCGATTTAGTCCAGCTCTTCAGTGTGGTAGGTAGGATTGGCATCTCCATCTGCTTTACCTCAGGAATTCATTAGTAATCACACACACATTTTTAAAAATGAACATAAAACGTGCTACACACACACACACACACACACACACACACACAAGTCATCATGTGTTAGTTAAACTGCTTTGTTGAGAAATGCTTTCACCTGAAGTCAAGGGGGCCTGCGTCTGTTGGGAACAGGATTTCTGAGTCGCTTAAGTTCCTCCTGAGCTTGGATTTTCTCCTGCCTTTTCCATGGGATCATCATCATCATCTTATAACTGCAGAGCTGGAAAGGACCTTATGGGATCATCCAGTCCAGCCCCTACCAAGGAGACACAAGTGGGGAATCTATAGGTAATATACATTGGAAACACATATGTATGAGTTGTTTTAATGTAATCTAGGCACTGGAAGGACAGATCCTGAAGCTGAGGCTCCAATATTTTGGCCATCTCATGAGAAGAGAAGACTCCCTGGAAAAGACCTTAATGTTGGGAAAGTGTGACGGCAAGAGGAGAGGGGGAACGACAGAGGATGAGATGGTTGGACAGTGTCATCAAAGCATGAATTTGACACAACTCCGGGAGGCGGTGGAAGATAGGAGGGCCTGGCGTGCTCTGGTCCATGGGGTCATGAAGAATCAGACACAACTGAACGACTAAACAACAAACAACAACAAATCTAGAGTGGTCCTGAGTTGACTAGATAGGTGGGATATAAATAAAATAAATAAATAATAAATCTAGGCAGTAGATTACTGAAACTGCAGGTAATGATCCTGTGGCTATGGCAGTCCTACTGTAATAATTAAACAATGTTGTGGGGTTTCTTGAGCTTTAATAATTCCATTTTCTTGCCTTGAGGAAGAGGAGAGAGTGGGGACGTTTGACTGTGCTTTTTTCATTGGACCACAGCACAAAAATGGTACACCTGCCTGAGGCCGCCACCGGCTGCGTTGGGAGCTGAGAGAGATGCGTGACCTGGAGGGAGAAGGGGAGTGAGCGTGGCAAGCCCCACTTCCTGATCAGCCTGCCGACGGCTGGCTTTTGGTCGGGCTGCTGGGATAGATAGATGGCCGGATAAGTAAGGGGAGAGGTAGAATCCTGTGTGGAGGTTTCCAAGTGCAAAGTGCTCTGATGAGGCTGGGAAAGCCAGCGTCTCTTGCTCAGGGGGCACAATACTCGTCTTGCCCCCCGGATGCTGGCAACCCACAGAACAGCGAAGCTGGAAGGGGCTGCGTATGCCATGGGCTTGAAGCAAAAGGCTGAAAACAGCAGAATGAAATTTAATAGGGATAAATACAAAGTTCTGCAATTAAGGAAAGAAAAGAAACGTACAGTTACATTGCAGATAATTGGTTCGATAATAGTATGAGCAAGAAGGATATTGACACTGAAAATATTAAAAATATTCAAATAAAAAATTCAGGAAAAGACTTTTTTCGCATTTATTACCAAAAACTGAGCCCTTGGATCTTTGATGTTCTTGTACTGTGGATAAGTGAATCAGTGGATACTAATCCCGTGGATAAGGGGGTCCTACTGTATTATTATTGGCTAGCCAAGCCGGAGAGGGCACAGGCAAAAAGGAAGAAAAACAATAGAGAGTTTGCAGAGGGTTTTTTTCCTGGAGGTGCTAGCTCTAAACATCTCCCTCCTTCTTTTCGGTTAGGAAAAATGCCTCTTAGAATGATAATCACCTGTAAGGATGTATCACTGGAAACCGAGATCATCCACACTATCATGTCTCCTGATCACAATAAATGGTTGTGGAAGGTCATCCATTCACAGCAGGCGTTCCCAACCTTTGGTCTTCAGATGTTCTTGGACTACAACTCCGAGAAACCCTGGCCAGCACAGCTAGCGGTGAAGGCTTCTGGGAGCTGTAGTCCAAGAACATCTGGGGACACAATAAGAAAGCTCGCAGGAAAAAAACCTGATTTGTTTGAGGAGAGCTTTGTAGATACCCTGGACTGCCAGAAAGACAAACAAGTGGGCCCTGGATCAAATCCAGCCTGAACTCACTCTGGAGGCAAAAACGTTGAAACCGAGACTGTCTTCCTTTGGGCACCTCATGAGAAAGCAGGATTGCCTGGGAAAGACAAGAATGCTGGGAACAGTGAATGCCAGCAGGAAAAGAGGAAGCCCCGATATGAGATGGACTGGCTCCCTAAAGGAAGCCACAGACTTGAGACTGGAATAGCTGAACTGGGCTGGGGAGGACAGGAGCTTTTGGAAAGCGCTCATTCACGGGTTTTCCAAGAGTCACAAGTGCCTTGACAGCCCATAAAGACAAACCACGACTCTTAAGAGTGGTCTTGGTTTGCCTTTGCCAGGAGTCTGGCTTGGCTTCAGTCACGTGACAGGAAGTGCAGGACGAAGGGACTCGTACCTGCCCTCCACAGGCAGCGTAAACGTTTCTCTCCTTCCCGCAAATGGGGGGGGAAGAGCTGGAGGAGCGCCGGGTGAGCATGGCGGGGGCTGGGCTGGACGGGGAAAGAAAGGCCAAGGGAGGGAAATGGGGAGAGAGAGCGGAGGGGCTTTCTAGGCGCCCGGCCAGCCTGCCCTCCAACCACCCAGGAGGGAAGCAACCGATCCCAGCCAAAGACTGCAGTGGAAAGGGGCTCTATGGTAGAAGGTGGTGTGGGCGGAACGCTCATCCCTCCCCGCCTCGGCAACTAAGGAGTTAAACGCACCGAGGTGGGCTTCCTAGAAGGGAAGGGAAAAAAATCCGTGTCCTTTCTCGAGAAGAATCCCTTCCTGTTCCTCTTTTTTTTGTCCTCCGGAGGAAAGCGGGGCTCGGCTCTTTTTAGGGCCTACCCCTGTTTTCCGGGGAATCTAGGGACTGCGCAATCCACCCACCCCAAACCCCACCGCCATCGCGCCTGGGGGGAGGGGGTGAGTCCATATTCCTAATACTTTATTTACAGGGCCAAAATGGGTGACTGGAAGGCGTGGGGAAGGGGCCGCGCAGGGCGGATCCTGGGCTCCCGAAGCTGCAGCAACAGCCTCTCCCTAGCCGTGCGTTATTTATAGGACGGAGGGGCGCTGGGGGTGGTGGTGGAAATCGTGTGTGTGTGTGTGTGTCGTCTCTTGTCTCCTCGTTTAAAAAGCCTTGCATCAATTTTTTTAAACTGTCTGGAGGGTGGAAGCAGGTGTTTTGTGGGGTTTCCCGCCTCCTTTGGTGCTTTATTTAAAAAAAAAAATAATTTGGAGCACCCTGGGCAGGATGAAGACTCTTTGCTGATGGAGTGGGAAATGCATGTTTTTTGCAAGAGGCCGAACGCCCCGGGTTAGCCCAGGGTGGAAGGGATGCCTGGTTATCTTGGGGTGCCCTTTTAAGAAAACGGTGGTTGCCCAGTCCATTTTGAAATTATGATTTTATTTAAAATATTTTTTTAACCTCACTTTTCCCCCCCTTAAAGAGAACCTAAGACATCATTTAAAGACAATATTTAAAAGCTAAAAAGCAGTAAGTGTACAGATTGTTTTAAAAGATCAAAACAAATACTGTACCATGTTAGGGAAAAAGAGGGCAGGAGGAGAAACCATAATGGTGAGGAGGAAGCCTTGGGGTGGAGAATGGATGGGTAGTTTTAGTCAGGGTGGGAAAGGTGCAGGATCGTCAGACTCTCCTTTGAGCCTAGGCATCGTCCAGCCCTTCCTTGCAGGATGAGAGCTGGTCACTAGCAGGGGTTTGTCCGAAGTGTACCCCAATAGTCTTGATGATAGACATAGAAGTATCTGAAATGGGGATGGTTCATTTGTGTTGAATTGATCAATGCCTACACATTTCTTGTTCTACAGATGATCGGCTCAATTTTGTATTCAATCGATTTGAGGAAAGTGGACCTGACTGGTTTCCCATCATGGCTCCCTCTTCAGCCCGAACAAATCCTTCATCTTCTCTTTCGCCATGACAAAACGGAGTACATAAGGAGCGCCCCTACCGGCTCAGGCTGAAGATCATTCTAGTCCACCATCCTGCGTCCTTCAAAGTCTCACTAGATGCCTGCTTGAGGGTTGTCACTTTTCCCTTTGTTGCAGGCAACCCACGGCTTCCACACTGGGAAGGAGCTGGTGGCCCATCTAGCAAACAGCCATTAGCCTTATTCTCTGCTAAGAAGGCTGCAGATACGACTCGTTCAAAGTCCACAGCATAAGCCCTCGCCGCCCTGTTTGATGAACCTTTTTGGGTTTTCGTAGTAGATTTTCTTTGTGTGCCTTGTGAGAAGGCTTGACTTCCTTTTCCACGCAGGACCTAGTGATGTCCAAGGAAGCAGTTGTGGATTTCACCTAGGTGGAGTGGATGTTGCTGGTTCCTGACCAGAGAATCCTACACAGGGAAGCGATGGAGGAGAAATGTGGGATCGTGGCCTCTCTTGGTAAGGCCCCTTATTTTCCCGTTTGATGATATTACTGATTTACAAATATAATTCTAAGAACTGCAATAAAAAGCTGTAAATGGTACTTCCAAATTGTGTCCCCATTAACATCATTTGCTTGGAGAATCCTCAACAGAGGACTGGCAAATCTGTGGCTCTCCAGATGTTATAGAATTCTGGTTCCCGTCATGCTGAGCCATTATGTTCGGTGGTGAGTCATGATGGGAGTTGGAGGGTAGAAGGTTCCCAAGCCATGACTTAGGGGACTTTGGAGAGATGCTGAACCCCCATTTGTCCTATCTTAGATGGAAGAGATAGAAAGGGCAGGGATGCAGAGGAGCTGACGGTGTTCAGTAGGACCATGGTATCTTTGGTAGATTGGTTCTAAGTCCTCCTGTGGATGCTGAAAACTGGATACAGTACTGTAATAGCAATGCTAAATATATAGCATTGTCTCTGGTTCCCTCTAGTGGCCAGTTTTTACAATTACATTGTCAAAATATGTATTTCTGGGTGTGTGTTTTTTGGTCCTTTAATATTTTTATTTATTTAATTTATATGCCACCGTAGATTGGTGTCCTCCTGTGGATGCTGAAAACTGGATACAGTACTGTAATAGCAATGCTAAATATATAGCATTGTCTCTGGTTCCCTCTAGTGGCCAGTTTTTACAATTACATTGTCAAGTCAAATATTTCTGGGTGTGTGTTTTTTGGTCCTTTAATATTTTTATTTATTTAATTTATATGCCACCCACTCTACCAAAGGTCTCTTTTAGACAATAGATAAGGATAAATGTGGATACCGATACCGTGGATATGAGGGTCGTGCTGTATTTTAAAATGGGAGCTGGGCTGAGAATCTTAACTTCTTAAGTTAACTCTGAAATCCATGCCTTTTTGTCCAGTTCCAACTTCACCTGGATTGTGTCCTGATCTCTGCATTGCAAGACAAGACAGGTATTGCTAAGTGCGTCTTGTCCAGAGGGGTGCAGAAAGAGTGTAGGGTGTCTAGAGCCCCAGTGCTATGGGGATGTTTAAACTGGAGAAGAGGAAACAGAGGGAAGAGGATCACTCTTCTCAAAAGATTTGGAGGACTGTCCGGTTGAAGAAGGAGCAAATTTGTTTTCTGCGGTTGCTAAGGGTAGGATCGGAGGCCACGAGTCTGGGTTACAAGAAAGGGGATGCCATCTACAGAGACAGCACTTTGTAAGGCTAAGAACTGTCCCGTGATAGAACAGAGGGCCCCGGAAGATCCACCCATCAGAGCTGCCTTCGCTGCGAGTTTACGCCACCAGCACAGGATTGGGCCAGACGATCCATGGGCTTGTGTCTCCTCTCCTGTTCTTTGGTTCTACGACTAGTCAGGGAAATGTGACGAAGAATGAATATTTTAGGCTCAGATATCTAACAAGTTGCTTTGAATGATACCGAGCTGTGGAAAAGCTGATACCAAGCCATTGAAAAATTCTCTGGTCCAATAGCAAAAAGCTAAAAACAAAGTGTGCTGCTTATACACTGCCCCATAGAACTTAAAGCACCCTGGGGAGTTTAATTATGCAGACTAAGCATGGCCTCCCCCCCACCCCAGCAAGCTGAGTACTCAGTTTACCGATCTCGGAAGGATGGAAGCTTGAGTGAACCTTGAGCTGGTTACCTGGGATTGAACCTTTATCATGAGCAGAGTTTTGGCTGCAGGACTGCAATGCTGCCACTGTGCCTCAAGGCACCACAATAATCTATGTGAATATGTTTGCAAATTTTTCCTAGTGCTGTTTAAACCATCTCCACTGCCTGAATCTAACCAATAGAGCAATGACCGATGCTTAATCTATTCTCTGGCCATGATTTTTAATTTAACTTAATTTCCAAAGTGCTCCCAAATCACATGCACTTCTGCGGATTAGTTTTGATTCTTGCTACTCTTTTTTACAGTCCCGAAGCCTGAAA